TTTCTTAATTTGGGTTAGTTCACTTAAGTCATTCTTGGCACAGTGTAATATAACTTGCCTTACAGCATTGTGCTATAGCCTGGCATCTAAACAACCTGGCAAGTGTCCTCTCAAAACACCAGCAAGTGCTAATATGCAACAAGAGGCAGTGCAAACTACAAAGAGAAAGGAAGGAAAAGACTGATTTAAAAAAAAGCTACAGTTTCTTTGTGTGTTCCATTCTGTGACGACAATTTAAATCTGAGTTTTTCATCTGCAACAAGCCAGTTAATATATATGGTTTGCAGCCAGACTGCTATATCCAGAAATGTGGGTTTTGTCCAGCAAAATGTTGTCCTGATATTACTCTTGCTTTTAACCAGCATTATTGATAATTTCTACGTTGAGAACATTGATTTAATTTAAAATCCAAAATTATTTTTACATTAAGTTGTGTCCCACAACTTTCTTTCCCAGATCAGACTGCATTATTTGTAATGTTGAACTTCATCTCAGGACTCTCAGGTTATGTCTACACTTCACACTTATTTCAAAATAACAGAATGTGCAGCAAGCCTGTTGTTTTGAAATAATTTCAAAATAACGGGCTTCGTACTCCACTTCTGTAACCTCATTTCACATGGAGTAAGTATTCTTCCTTCGAATCTGTTCATAGTTCCCCAGCAAATGTACCAGCATCCTGAAAAATGTTTCTACTGACTAATAGACAAAACTATTTTAGGAGAGAATTTTTTTATAAATGGTAGGGCTGTCAATTGACCTGCATTAACGCCCGCGATTAATGCCGGACAGGATTAATGTGTTAAAAAAATTAACATGTTAATCACAGGCGCTAATGCTGTGCTGCCTCTTTGAATTGCTGTTCTGGCACTTCAAGGGGGAAGTGCAAGCAAAGCTGGGGATCAGCTGGGGACTCCGGATGATCTCCGGCTCCACTTTTGCTGCCCCTTTGAAATGTTGCTCCGGCGCCTTAAAGGGGCAGCGCTGCATAGTGCCCAGGGTCAGCTGGGGACTCCAGCTGACCCTGGGCTCCGCCTTGCGCTGCCCTTTAGAAACGCTGCAGCAGTGCTTCCAAGAGGCAGCGCTGCATGGAGCCTGGGGTCAGCTAGAGTCCTGCTCCGTTGCGAAGGGAGTTGCACGTGATTAATCGTGCTAAAACTTTATTGCTTGACAGCCCTAATAAATGGTATTTTTTCAGTGATATCTTTGGGACCATAAATGAGTAGAAATTTATCCTATAATGTTGGTGACGGGGATATAGAATGAACTAGGAGGAGTATCCATACTAATATTCTCAAAAGTGTTAAGTACCTCCCATTAACTGGTAATTAATCTGAAGTACTAAAGTCTGGCAATGTTTGGATTCTACTGTAGGTACTGAATAATCTGCTAGATGGTATCCAGAAACTAGAACACCTTTAAACTGTGTGGTATACAAAATTGAACAAGTGATTTATAGGATTTGTTCCTTCATGGATGTGTATGTTGCTTTGTGAAGAAGTTCCCTGCCCTGTGAACATGAGGGGAGGAGGAGTATCAGTGCAGCTGGGGCTGTGGGAGGCAGGCTTCCAACCATGCTTACAGCTCCACCCTCTCTGCTGAGGGTTCCATCCCACCATGGGGACAGGAGGAGACAGGGCAGCATGCCACATGCGCACCCCCAGCCTTCCCGGAGCACCAAGGAGGGAAGAGGCTGTGCAGCCCAAACCTCTCCGGCCCCTGAAGCACAGGGAGGATAGGTGGACATACCTCCAGCTTCCCTGCCCTGGAGCAGTGGGTAGGGCAGGTGCTGGGAGTAACAACACTCCACCCCCATTATGCCTACACAGGCATTCTGGGGGCAGAATGTGGGTGGGCCATGCCTGGTGGTTTGGGAAGGCAAAGCCTTCCCCCGCTTAGCATACTGGATGCCCATGCCTGAGAATAAAATCCAGGAATATAATAAAATAACAGACTACAGGATTTAAGAGGCAGGGAAACAGGCTATGGGAAATATTGGTGCTTTTTGGAATAGTTTCTTCTGGTAAGGGTCTCTGGAAGTGCTCTCCGGTATGATGTGCATGTGTTCATGCTCTCCTCACCAGAATTGGTTAGCCTGTGCCTGCTTATTGCATAGCCTCAGGCTTCAGAACAGAAATTGGGAATGGGTGATAGGATGGATCACTTGGTTACCTGCTCTGTTCATTCCCTCAGAAACACCTGGCTTTAGTCACTGTGGGAAGACAGCGTACTGGACTAGATGGAACTTTTGTCTGGCCCAGTATGTCCATTTTTACATTCTTATGGGCATATAGGGAGGAGTGGATCATTGCCATTCCCATTCCTTTTCAAGAGCCTGTAGCTTAAAATGGAGCAATTGTGTCTCCTCTGCTTCCTAGTGACTAGTTAGTTTCTGCTTCCATGATCAGTGTTTTTTCTTTGTTTCTTATTGGTATAAATTGTTGCCTTTAGTGGAGGTTCTCCCTTTTTTACTTCCACCCAGTTTCAAGGACAGAATCCTTTGCTCTTTTGGCCTCTTATTTTTGGTACACCAAAAGCCTGGGGATTAAAAGCCTGCCAGATTTGCGATAGGTTTTTCCCCTGGAGCAATAGGCATTTGGGCAGTCTGAATCTCTCATGTTCCATCCAGGTGCTAAGTTTTACAGGGTGTAGAAGGAAATAAGACAAGCTCTTCAGGCAACTCTCCCATAAGACCTGTGTGGGGTCTCACTCCCCTCCTTGCCTTCCCCAATAGTTCAGTACCTACTTGAAGCTGAAACACTCCAAAAGTATTAAAAGAAGTCTGTCTTTTGAGAGAAAGAGATAAGTCACTTGAGGGTTGTTTTTGAGGAGACTTCTTGTCCTGAATTGGTACCTCCGTGGCTCCATCAGACATCAGCACCAGAACCTCAGTATTGGCTAAATAGACTTCCCAGGATAATAGCCTGCAAGGTAGAGTTGGTGAGATTCAACTTTCCTGATGTTCTTCAGAAATCAAGACTCATCAAAATGTAATGGCATGAGAGAGTCCAAGGCGCCAGTACCATCTTTATTCCAATGTTATGCAGAGCCCTCTTAACTCTACTGTTTTCTCTGTCACCATCTTCCTCAGGTTGTATGCATTCAGAGAGATGCCACCTTAACGGTTCCTTTGGCACTATATTCAACCACCTCTTGCTTTCTGTTCCTGTTGAGAGCTTCTGTAGTGCCCACAGTCTTTACCATAGCTCTCTGGCTCTAGATGTCTTTCACATAAAGATCTCTTCATTTCTGAGGAACCAGAGTTCTCCCTTTTATGGCACACCAAGATGAGCTAGGTACACCAACCACCACCTGTCATTAGGTTCCAGCAAAAGGCAAAGCCCCCGTACTTACCCCATCTAACCAGTCTCTGCAGTATGGTTAGCAGCCTCTAGTAGTGACCATGGCACTGATGACTACTACCCCTCCTTTAGACATAAAGGACAATACCTCATATTCAGGGATCTCAGTCCAAGGCTCTTCTGCAGTTTTAACTATCCAGTGCCCCGGGAAATGTACCCTGATGGTGACTTGCCAGACATTCCAGAAGGTGTTCCAGACCTCTCAAATGTAACTCCAGATATTCCTTTTGACAAGGTTTTG